GCGCTAATTGGTGGCTTAAATACTCCAGTCATGTCATATCGTCCCTTGCCGCCGCTGGAGCTGCTGCTACTTCCGATGCTGCTGTTGCTGATGAGGGGTTCGCTGATGATGCTTGGTGTTGGTGTGGAGAATATGAGAGGTGCATATTTGTCCCATATATAGTAAGGCCTGACTCCAAGAGGTACCAAATCGTCCAAGAGGTTTAGAGGATCGGATCGATCCGACCGTTTGGTAAAGCAAGGACAGTCGTCATGATTTACTGACAAACGAAATAAATCTTCTTTCCTAAGACCTGAAGTGCAAATAGACTGTTCTTGGATTTGTTGTGAGTCCCTTCACATCGTATGAAGACACATTAATACGTAATAAGCATAAAGTCGGTGAATAACTACATTATCTTTCCTTCAAACGTCATGTATTATTTCAGGTTAGTAACGTTTGTGAATTGCTTATGGATGTTATGTTCTAGATATTTATCTTAATAAAAAGTGGAGCCACCCGTTGAGCATTGATTGATCGAGTTTTGCAGGGGTAAGGTATGATGTAACAATACTAGAGTTACTTGCTATCCCAACGTTATCAGTAACCTTATCAACCTCTCATGGAAATATAATCTTGCCTGCAAAACACTACTTATTTTATTGGACAGCCAGAATAATGAGTTTCGATCTACCGTAGACGAAAACAACAAAAGTAAAAGAATTGTTTTCATTTTGATAAGATTCATCTTCTCTAATTTTGATTGCGTGTTTTATTAGCTGTCGTGTCGTGGTGATGGATAGGAGCTAGATGCTAGCACTTGAACCCCCTTTTTGCCCCTCCCCTCGCTTCTTCCTCGCAGGAACAGAAGATAAGAGCCTACGTTCGCACCTTCACCCTTGCCTAGTTGTATTGATATTAGCTTAGGGATGGTAGCGTCTCAGATACAAGCTTGGTGTCTTCTTTCCCTTGGGGTATTTACCTTGCACCTATACTGACTGTGCTACCCTGATGACAAGTGCGACCTATATCTTTCTAGCACATCAAATTTCAGGATGCCTTCCTCATCCGCCTTCTCCCTGATTGGAGAAGTTGATGGAAGCTCTGTTTTGAGTCTGTACCTTAGGCATTTTATGCTCATCTGGTTTATATTCTGTGCAATTTTGATTACCAGTTATTAAAATGTGAGCGAAATATGTAGACAAATGTATACCCGAGTTTAGTTTCCCTTACAATGAGAAACTTGTGTATTCAAATTTTTTTTAGTGAGAATATAATTATCTCCATGAAATATGAGGTGTCGTTTTTCGCAGCAAGTGACGGCCATGAAGGTGTTCAGAGGAATCTCGTGTTCCATGAGGGTATAACAAAATGTAAAAAATCACCCTTTTTAAACTCTGTTTTTAATCTGTAAATTATCCTCATAAAATAGAAAATCTCGATGTTTGTGTTCAGTTTGGTGTGTTTTTAGTGTTTGCAATACCATCGTTTCTGAAACGAGCTAACGTTCGAGTGATGCGGTCGAGGTTTAAAGAAGGGTTTACGATGGGTTATGCGATTAGCCTCTTAACGGAGCAAACGGGAATACCGTTTACGCTCCCAAATTCTTGAAGATTTAAAAATTTACCGACAGCCCGGATCATGCTTCACAGCTCCATTTTTCGTAACTGGTTTTGTTCTGATTTCATAGGAGTATTACGCTCTTGCGATGGTATGCTTTTATCCTCGCACTGCTTACAATTTTGTTTTCTTTAATATCGAGATGCCTGGGAGACTAAGGAAGAAACTGAGAAACATATGAGATGAAGAATAGAGACGTTGCGATATATATATTGGCTCTAGAAGGCCATTGACTGGAGAGAATACAAAATTGTGATGTAGGGCTAAACTTAATTTCCCAGAAGTGTGTGCACTATTGAGTCGTTCCAATTGAACCGAAATCAAATATTTACTCAGGATGGGAAACGGGGCTTCGTTTGTTTAGACTGAGCCAATGTGTCAACCAATAGATTCAAGTGTCATTGTCCGTAGGATCATTCCTCGAGAAACGAGATACTATTCCAGTAGTGTAGCTAGTTCACAAACACTTTTTTCTTATTTCTTTGTTTTAGCATGTATTTATTTCTATTTGGGAAGATGAATCTGTAGTCTCTTATCAAAAAATTAAAAGTCTAACACGTGTATGTTAATATATGATAGCCATTGTTTACAACCGGCTACCCTTCTAAGGGATGATGCTTAAAAGTGCGAAATTGATAGTTTGTCAAAGGTGAAATTTAAACTACAGCGCATTTTGAGTTTAGGGTTAGTCTTTTTAATTCGTTCTTACGGTAGCAATTATTCGTTTGATCCTAATATCGTCACTCGATTTTGAGTAACAATTTTTGCTTATAGTTTGATAACTTGGTCTTGCCTGAAAAGAATAAAGAAGCGCGATCAGGGTTACTTTCAGTAAACGAACTGCATATAAATAGCGCCATTTTACGTGAGTAAAATCCCTCAATGCGGCTTTTATAGAGCCCTCAGGTTTGAACTATTTTATTTTTAGTGCAATGTTTACTGCTGTAAGGTTATAAGACCTGTATATAGTTCATTTTGCGTCACTTGGGGATTAGGATCTGTGCTAGCAGGTTTTAGTAAACTTGATTCCACATAGAAATTGAGTATTGAGTATATGTTCCAAGGCGTACATTGCGAAAAACTAGTTGTTGTTTCCCCTTCATATGTATTAGCCTGTTTCGTCGGCGCTTTGAAAACTTATGATTATCAAGTATTTACGACCAAAATAGAAAAAATTAATTCAGCAAAGAAACCGCAATCCTCGATTGTTCAACGGCTTAATATTCAGCCACGAGGTATGGAATTTTACACAGCAACCCGACTAATTTATCAAACTAGAAATACATTTCTTTGTCATCTAATCCGACCAGCAGTTAAACTCTTGAACTCCCAAGAACCGTACCTAGTGTTTGCTCCGATCAGGGTCTCTTCCGACATGGTGGAAGAGCAAACCAGAGCAAGAAAGGCAGTTTGATGAACCTTCTGTTTTATGCAAAAATTCTTTCACGTTCCCAAAATTTCTGCTTTTTGGCCTGTGGCGTCAGGCTCGGCTTTACTTCATCATATTTTGTTTTCATTTTTGAAAACTCCTTAGCCAGCAACCGCTGTTTACTTCATCAACCACAATAAACACATCAACGACAATTTTTTTATTTCTTCTTCCTTTTTGTTAAACGGGTCTCGTAGTTGCATCACCAGTAACCAAGAACCACTCGTCGTCAACATGTTCGTCTAATTGTCGTTAGTATCTCTTGATGTTTGAAAAGCGACTGGTGGCTTGAGACTAGTACTTGGTGGAGTCAGTGAACCTCCTCTTTGGTAGGTCAATAAATCAATGAGAGGGAGTTGAAGTCAATCATGTCACAGAGACTCTATACCCATGGTATTTTTTCTCCATTCTTCGCTCAGATTTGATGGATAATTCAGAGCCTTTTTTCCCCCTCTCTTTTGCTTTTGGGATTCTGTTCATGGTTGAATACCGCCGGGTGTTTGGATGAAAGATTCTTTCAAAGTCAGGTTTAAAGCGCCCCTCTTGTCGCAAACGTCGGGATGAATGAGTAGGGAGAGAATGAAGTAAATGAATTACCATTGCACGCAACAGATTTTTATTACAGCCTTGTCAGTCTGCATTGCACGTCAAACTTACATTGCTTTGTGATCATATTTTGCTGCTTTGATATCACGTGAGCACATTTTATTAGTAATAAAATCTATTACAAGGGTTTATGCTCATAGTCATCAGTCCACTGACACTGGAATTGCAAGCTGGATATTGAGGTACCAAAATCCGTGAGTATCGGATTAAACTTTCGGTCTACAATCCCTTCGTCCTTTGTTGTATTACGTACATACTGATTTAAAAATATTACAATGTTCCTGTCCAACCACTTTATATATATATATATATTCCAACTTATTTCGAATTTCATGATGCCTCTGCCTTTTTTGTGTAATAGCTAGGTGTTGAGGTATCGTCCGTCGAGTGTAACCAGTACCGTTCCTGCAACGCCAGGAATGTGCGCGATGGTGGGTGTGCGTTGGGCATGTGTGTGCGTGTGAAAAAGAGGGAGAAAGAGGTGGAGCGCTTACATATTTCAACTGTCCCAATGTGCGCTGTCCCATTTTCCTCTCAGTAAGTGTTTACAAATTGCTCGGCCTGGGTCCCGTCGCCTCCTGCAACAAGTCAATCACCCCGGCTTCCAACGAAGGCTGAACTTGAAACTTGAGGGAAAGGTGGAGGACACTATTTGTTCGGTGAAATGAATCCCACAGTTAAGCCGTCTAAATTACCAATCGAGTAGAAGAAAAGATAGAAAAAGAAAATTGAAGAAAGAGAGAGAGAAAGAGAGAGAGAAAGAGAGAGAAAGAGAGAGAGAGAGAGAGAGAAGGAGAGCGAAGAGAGATGGATCTTCAAGAGTAAGGTATGTGAGAGAGGGTGTAAGTAACCGCGAGTTCATTATACTACGGCTAAAGGAATGTCTATTTAGGTAAACAGCAATGTTGATTCATATTCTTTATCACATTCCTGTATGCTTCATAGATTTCATAACGCGGAGAGCTATTCCACCATTGGGAGATGGAGTCTGTCGTACGCCATATCGCCTCCATTAGCTTGAATTCCATCGGCGATCTCTGAGTGTGTACATATTGTATCAAGCCAGATCCCTGACATTTATTTTAAGATTTTAATCGCTTGAGCCAACATATCGGAATATTTTGCGCAATGCTGAATTCCTAAAATAACTTGTTTTAATCTGAACATTCGGCGGAGAACATTCAACCTTTGAATGCAGAATGTCCTTAGATGTCCTCTATCAATGAAAAGTTTTTAATGTATTATGGTTAATATACTTTATTACAAACAGATTAAGTTGATTTATTTTTGTGACTACTCTCATCCAAGCCACCTTGTTCGATTACGTCCAAATTATAACGAATCTTCTTCATCTGTGTCTTTTCAGATCAAACTTCTTGAAGATGTTGCCAGCAAGCGTCGGCCGGACATCGGCCTGCCGTATGGCGTCAATGGCACAACAGATCCTGCACAGACATGTCGGTACAATGGTCACGTCAGAACATCTGGAAGACGCCAAGCCCTACGATGAGATCCCAGGTCCCAAAGGAGTACCTTTCTTCGGCTCACTCTTCGACTACACTGGTTTGGGTAAGTAACTCTCAGCTCTGTTCCCTAATTTTAAAATACATTCTTACAATTCGGTCAGACATTATCCATATAATTTAGTCCTTTTCTACCTCATAGATGCAGTCTTGATTATATGCAAATAAGTCATTAGAGGTTTTTTTTAATCGTAAGAGGTGAAATTCAAAAAAATATTAACTGCTTCGAAAATTTTGAAAAACACTGGCCCCACAAAATAATATCGTGTATATTCTTATAGAAAGTACAACATTCGTTAAGTTTCCATTGTACCTTGTTGCAGTGATTATTAGATTAGATTATTGAAGAATTCTAGGTTTCCTTGAATTCAAAGTGAAAAGTTTCAAAAGTTTCAAAAGTACGATGGCGTGATGAGTTTGTGATTTTTAAATGCAATCAACGTCGTTCCGAACCCATGCAGGCCCTTACAAATTAGACAAACTGCATGAAGCCACCGTGGACAGATTCCGTAACTTTGGCCCCATCTTCAAGGAAACCCTGGCCGGTGTCACCCACGTCCACATTATCGACCCCACCGACGTCCGGGAGCTGTTCAGAAACGAGGGGAGGAGTCCGAAGAGGACACCAATAGATGCCATGGTCAAATATAGGAGGACACGGAAAAGACACATCGGCATGGCAAACACGTAGGTCAACCACGAAGCCTCTTCCTCTCTCCAAAACTATTGCTCGGCATAGCAAGAAATTTTTGAATGTTTGTAACCTTGCATTTAGTTGCAAAGATATGGGATATGTGATATTACATTTTTGGCCCGTTATCTACTAAAAGTTAAACCCAACGCTCGGTTTAAGCTGTTGTCCAAAATTGGGTTTAACGAAGGAAGTTAGTCAGAGGTCTTAGTTCTCTTTTTTTAAACGTAATCGGGTCGGGTATATCTAAATTAGTAATATGTGGTAAGTTGTTAAAAGTTCTGCAAGTTCTCTCCTTTTATAAAATGAATGTATGTCAAGGAAAGAACCACCGTCATAATGCTAACTGGCACATTAAAAAACAAATAGAAAAGTATTATAGCATTAAAGGGTCAGAAGAGCAAGCACAGTTTAAATCCCCAAGTGCGTCATTCAGCAGATTTACCATACCATACCCCAAAAATAGAAGGGGATTTAGTGCTTGGAGTACAAAGCTGCTTTGAAGTTTTTGCTTTTGAAGTTTTCTTTAGGTATAGATTTGAAACTAATCGACCATCTGACTTTAATCTTGATTTATTTAACTTAAAGTGAAGTTCCTTCGGCCTCTCGACAGAGTTACACTTACACTGATGTCACCCTTACGGCTGTTGAATCCAGGGTTCGATCCGTGGTGTTTTGTAAATACAGAGCTGCAGAAAGAGCAGTATCAATACTGATTTGGCTTTCCCTTATCAGCAATCAATTATCTAATGATCATTGTTTAACAAACATGCGTTAATGGTTATTATTGTGTTTCCCATGCTCACGTTTTTTACGCTATGTTTTGTCCCGAACACAGAGAAGGCGAGGAGTGGCAGAGGCTTCGCAAACCTGTCCAGCATCTTCTGATGAAGCCTCAGAGTGTGTACGCCTATATTCCCATCATGGAAGAGTGTGCAGACGACTTCGTAACACTGATGAAGGAAACGCAAGACATCGAATCGCAAGAAGTACCGGAATTCAACCACAAAATGCAGAGGTGGACGCTAGAATGTACGTGTACCTCTTATCGATATTGATGCGTCGCCATGATTTTATTATCTTGTTGCTATTACTTATCTTGAGAATTGACATAATTGTAAAGAAGGAATACCATTCTGTAGTGAATTCTTATCTTCACTTACAGTAGAGATGTTTAAGGTTTAAATTTCTGTCCTGTACGTTTGTACTTATAGGCAATGCATCCAGGTGTTGCAAAAGGCTACCTAGCCAGATTTATTTTGTGAAAGCTCTGCGAACTGGTGTCGGCATTACTGGACGGCACTTGACTTGAGAAGCGTAGAAAATATGCGATATGCATCATAAAACGTACATAAGAATGGAATATCACTAATACTAAAAAGAGATTCCGTGAACAGATCTTGCCAACTTGCTTTCTCCTTTTTTGTTATTTGTTTGTTTCTTTCTTATCAGTCTCATTCATTAAATTACGTGTTTTTATCCATCTCTCCTTTCCTATACAGCCGTATGTGCCATCGTCTTTGACACGAGGATGGGGTGCCTGAACACCGGGCTTGATAACAACCCTGAGGCCTTAGATATGATCGTCTCGGTGTCCAACTTCTTTGACAGTCTCAAAGACCTTACCTTCAGCTTTCCCTTCTGGAAGTTCGGCATCACCACCAAGGCATGGACAAAGTTCACCGAAGCACAGGACTACTTTTTCGGGTAATTTGACTTCATAATCGCTGATTCAAAAACCTTCGAGAAGTTGTGCACATTGTTAACGACGGCCGATTATGTGGCAAGGAACTGTCCCGAGTTGTGAAATTTCAAGATGCTAATTTAGTCATTTCATGGCATGAAAGTTCTGCGACTTTGGATCTCCCGCTAAAATTGCGTGGAAAAAAATGAAGTGTCTCATTTTACGGTATTAACACGTGAACAAAAATATGAGTCTGATGAATACAAATGTTTCTTAAACATAAGTTGCTTTAAAACCTTACAAATTTTGCTACATTAAATACCCTTTTATCAGTAGTTACTCAACGCTACTGTCACTTGTTTTCTGATTAGAAGGGATTAAAGATGTGCTCCAATCGCTCTGTGAATTTTACTTCTATCTGTCCTGTGTCACACTTTGTGAGAATTAATTCGAAACGACAAAAAATCAATCGTTTATGCAAGTTTAGTAGTGTGAGTAATAACTGTTAAGTGGAGCGATTGGTTTAAGTTTTCCTAGCGACTGACATATTCCGATGAAATTACATAAGACGGTGTACCTAGAGACTATGTAACCTCCGCAGTATCGGGAACATGCAAAAGTAAATTTCCCGGCGGGTGCAGCATGAATTTTGATAGTGTTGATAGAGTCTAGTTTGACTTGTAATTAGATATCCCCTGTTGTGTCTCCGGGAACCAAATTACCGCCTTGGCGAACTCCTGGATATCAAGAACTTCCGGCGTACTTAATTAGGTCAAAAGTTAAAGCTAGTGGCATGTATAATAGTGATGTTAAGTTTGCTAGGTAGATGGCTATGATGTAATACGAATGTGTGTCAAAAGATTTAAGCGAACTCGAGTGCCGAATACAAATTCGCTGCCATTAGGAATAAGGGCGAGCAAAAATGCTTGAACAATCTTTGAGCTGTAATAGTGTCAACTTTTTACAAAACAGGACAATTTTTGCGTAATTCTTGTATAGATGCAAGATTCCAAGTTTGGAGAATCGGTTCTTATTAAGTATCTCCATCAAAATAATGTTTTGTTTTAATAAAATATAACTAAGATTGGAAAGGAAGTATTATAAACTTACGCAAAGATGCAAAGGCAAGTTGAAGACTGAATCGGATATAGTTAGTAACTTAGTATAATATTAATTGCATTAGAAATTACGATAAAAGCAAACCAGGCGTTAACATACGCAATAAAAATAACGTGTCAATAAACGAATTTCTCCCATTTTTCCACAGAATGTCGAAAAAGTATGCCACAATAGCACTAGATAGGATGAAGTCAGCTGTCGGGACTAGTACTCAATCAGAATCAGAGGGAACCTTCCTCGAATGCCTCCTAGCCAGGAGAGACTTTGATATTGATAGCCTGTGCGACCTCATGAACGACCTCATGATCGCAGCAGTTGAAACGGTGAGTTTTTGTCACAAGTGAGAATGTAATCGCTGTCGTTAGTACACGGTAAGACTAAAACATTTATTTGGGGAAGGGGAGACCACGAGTCCTGCAGTGCTTCCGTGCCATAAAACGCCCTTGTATTCCTCTTTCCGTTCCGCTACACATGCCCCCAAAGCAAAGGGCACGCTGTCGTACATCATACTTTAGATTGGCCTGACTCAGAGCACTTTACGGTAAACACTTGGTATCCAATAAAGAACTATTTATGAAATCCGCCATCAATACAAAATTAATTCAGATGTAACTGTATCATTAATTTTGATCGAGTTTGTAACACTTTTCCCCTTCGCAGACGGCGAGTACCTTGGCTTTCAACTTGTACTGCTTAGCTAAGAACCCAGAGGTCCAAGAGAGGGTGTTTCAAGAGATTAACCAAGCCATCCCACCAGGAACAAAGATCACGGCTCAGTCGTTACAGAATCTTCCATACCTCAAGGCCTGCATCAAAGAAACTGTCAGGTAATTACCTTGATTCTGACTTTTAGTTCTTGATGATGCGATCATGTAAGGAACTGTGGCGATATTTGTAATGTTGGTCCGCCCGTTAGGTGGCGCCAGACTGACTAATGGTTTGAGAAAAGTTTGTGTTACCCTGAACTTGAAAGAAGAATTCTGAGAACCCAGTATATTCGGGAGGTATGGTGAAAGAGATAACCAGATCTTAACCCCCCCCCCCCCCCCATATGATTTGATTTTTACATTTTTGTTTTTATGCATTTTATTATGTTAAAAATATGAGTGTACAGCTTACAATTAAAAGCAAAAGGTTCTCTTCGTATTCAATTACCATTAGTACTCACTCAATGATTTGTTGATGATACAATACTATATTGATGTAATTTCTTTCTGAATTTGTTTATCAGGGTCTTCCCAACTGTTGATGGAACAAACAGGATACCATCAAGAGAGATCGCTCTTGCTGGCTACAGAATCCCTCCTGATGTAAGTATCATTAAATATCTTTTAAAATTTACTGCATAAGGTGGAATGACAAATACGAAATTGATTGTATAATTATGATTGTGAAGATCTAAATACTGTGAAATCCTTTTTGAAAGGAAAATGGAGATCGATATTTTGAGAACACCAATTCTCTTCGGTTAACCACAATCAGTATCTCGAGCGAAGACGACAGATAAAATTACTTCCAAAAATATAGAATAAAATAGAATAACAAAATTAAATAGCTGCATCAATAAGAAAGAACTGAATCAGAATTAAATCGAAGAACATGCCTATGGAGAATATATAGTCAAAGAATATATAGTAAAATAATCATCTATTTTGTCTTTCTATATCAGACCATTGTGAGGATTCACTGCATTGCGGGTCTCATGGAAGAGTACTTCCCCTCACCAGAGAAGTTCAAACCAGAGAGATGGCTGAGAGGCGATGCAGAGTGTGAGAACATTGACCCGTATCTCATCCTTCCCTTCGGTTATGGTTCCAGGATGTGCACGGGCAGGCGGATGGCCGAACAGGACCTTTACATCATGCTGATCAAGGTATGTATCTTGGTTGTAATGCAATGTCCAGTGTATATCCCACCGCTGCCGCCAAAATATGAAACACACGTTTTAGGAGTGCCTCTTTTGCTTTCAAAGCTTCTCTGTATAAAGAAACCTGACAATGATTATTTCTCTTGCAAAAGTGATGTTAGTTCATTTGTTTGGAGACAGTTTGAAGAATAATTTGAGGCAAGATTCTACTTTCCTTGACGTGGGAAAAGATCGGAATCTGGTTTAATTACAAGACCTACTTCTTTCATGAACATTGGAGTGACAGTGATGAGGCTTAATAGCATATTTCCTGGAGTACTTGCAGACTGACCTGGTTTTTCAATCCAGGATATATCCCATTCCCAAGACTGATGTTTTAACGTCCAGTCTATCATGCCTCTGGGGAAAGTAAAGTATGTGCAAGAATTTCTCAAAAATTATGTCCTCATTAGCCGATTGCAAGTAAGAAAAATGTCTGGTCATTTTATGAATAAATTTCATCTTCTTCATTTCTTATTTCTCTTTTCTTACAGATCGTTCAGAACTTCAAGATTGAGTGGCACCATGAGGAAGACATGGAACTTATCTTCAGACTCACCAACGTTCCTGACAGGCCTGCACAGTTCAGATTCGTTAGTCGGACATGATATTCTCCATTTAAAAAAAACACTTGAAACCAAGTAGAACTATGTACTTGTCTACCATCGTGTTTCTGTTTGATGATCGTACATAATGTGGCAAGGCTAGCAAGCAACAACTGACCACTATTCTCCATCACAGCATTTAAGATGAAAAGGATACAGCATCAATTTTTCGCATCTAGATGATCTTGTACAGCTGTCACTGTGTTATAAATTCAAAGACAATGGATGCATGAAGCAATGGTTTCCTTCTTGATATGCCGTCAACATTTCAGTGTCGATCTTTGGCCTTCAAAAGATCACATTGTATCCTTTGAGGTAATGTCTGCAAGGCCTTAAGTGAGTTCTGCAAACTCATTTCATGGACATTGTCCTCGTCAATTGTTGGCATTACAGACTGTTGGGATCAATTTGTGTCAGCCGAGTTGTGACCTGAAGGTTGCAACGTCCTTTCAATGACCAACACCGGGATTGTCACTAGAGAATTCTGCTGTCCAGGAAAGTTGCATGGTCAACAGGACCAAAGACATCATCAGCTGTATCAAGTTCAAGAACTTGTTGAGAATGTTTACTCTCTGAGAACAACTGGTCTGAATTATTGTTAAAATAAGGAGGCAGGGGAACGTCCTCAAGTCACATGAAGAAGTCTCTCCTATATACAATGTTTTTCATCGGAATATTGACACTGATAATGGGAGAGCGAGAGCAACTCCTCTGAACAAACTTGTCTTGCTGTGCTTTTGTACAAAATAACTACATCTTCCAAGTACTGTCCTAAATTCGCGCAAATTGTGGTACATGTATATTGTATAGAATTTATATGTATGAACAAAAAAACTTATCTTATATAGGTCTATATTCTTTCAGTTATTTCGATGATCATCTGTACATGTACATGTGACAACAAAAAAATTTGCATATGCATGTAAGTGCCTAAAATTGCTGTATCATTTTGTTTTATTTTAACATTATGTTTCAATGTTTGAATATTAGAGAACATTTTTAATGAACAAAATTAATGTATGTTTGTATAGTTTCTTCAGCAATGTATTCGTAACAACCCAGCTTTTTTTTGCAGCGTTCAAGCAACTCAAAGTGTTTTTGAAATGATAGAGAATGCACTAAAGAGCGAAACAGGTTAGAATCATGAATGCAGTTTTACATGTATTAAGTAATAAAGGGATCTTATCTGACTCAATGATCTCTTGCTACAGCTTTTTCTTTGCAACCTATCTACAGCTTGGCGCTTTATAGGTTGTTTTAGCTAAAGACAAGTAAAATTTAAAGAGACAGGGATTCTAAAATTCTATCTGCGTCATGCATTAAGTGCGTTAAATGATATACGACTCTTTGTTTTCAATAGAACATGATGTCATTTATGAAGATACAAATTCAGAAAACTGGAATTTTCGACAAACGTTATCAAATTACATGTTCTAATTATGTCTTTGTTGTATCGAAGTATGCATATGTATTGATTCGTCAGTTATGTGTGGTAATTCATTGCTAAAGTTTGTATAGTATTTTGTATATGAAATTATTGTAAAATGTGTACATATTAAGGCGATTTTTTAAGTACCACCCAGTTTCTATGTAAATATGTAAATATCGTTTTCAAAAATGAAATTTATATTTTAAAGGCCTCGAAAAAAAAATTGTATCTCAAACTTTATTATACTCACCGTATATCGAAAAGCATGTTATTTTTTACAGGAAAAAAAACACGAGTGCTCGTGACCTAAGTTACAAATAAGTCACGTTTGTACTAATTATAATTATATTTTTCATTTATGATCTGTTGGTATAGGAAAATTGCCAAATCGATGCACTTTCTGATTTTAATCATAGTTTCTTATGGTTTCATGCTAAAAGTTATTTATTGCAGCTGCGTGCATTTATCAAAGTGTTGATACAGAACAATCAATGTTTTTGTTTCATATTTCTTTCAATTCATGTTTAATTTGCTATTCTCCTATTTGTTGTTCATAATTTTGTGACCGAAAATCCAACAATCAAATATACACTTATTATTTTTTGGCAAATGAATGATATGATGTGGGGTGTTAATATATACTTTTAATTCCATCTGAATATACGTAAATTAAACATTTTTGACCGTATTCATATTATTCTACTACTTCTATCTTTGGGAAGGGGAATATTGGTTTTTGATTTGTTTTGTTGTTGTGTTTTAATGACAATGTCGTTCCATTTCTCACAATCACTAAACAAACGTAATTATGAGGTAGAATCATTACTTTCAGTGTAACGTGTTGGGACACTATGACAGGAAAGATAATAAGTAAAACTTCATTAAGTCGACATGAAACCTTCTGCTAAATGACTCGAGTATCTTTGTGCTTATATTTGCTCTTTGGTTTTTATTTATGCTAATCCTAACGAAGTATGAATCCATGATCTAATGGAGATTTGTTTTTTACTATGCTTTTTTTTTACTCACAAGCCATTTTTCTTGCCGATGTATAGTATCAGTTGCATCTTTTGACACGCAGATTATCATTATAGTCGAAATGTTTAACTAATTAATAACTATTATTTAAAGTGTATGATCCTAGATGAATTACACTAAAGAAAGGCGTTATGAGTATATAATGGCGTTCACCTGTAGAGTACCTTTGTCCATATTTGCTAAGTTAATATTCTGCCTGAAAAAGATAAGAAAATATTAATCTGTTTAGAATGAGGGGTAATGATACCCATGATAATCATAATTTCCATCGTATTCAGAATATTCTTGAGCATTTTGTACGAACAATTCATAACCACATGCATAAAAAGTCAATAGGCACTGTTCAGCATTTGACGTTATGAACGGGTAGAGTTATTGTCCACATAGCATCATTACATTACCTTACCATGTATTATTATTATTGTTATTTTATTGCAATGGTAGCCATCAGTCATAAAACTCACTATACTACTGTAACTCTATTATAACACGGGTAAAATCTTGTTAAATGTAGAAGGGTCTTTCGCATATCTCCTTGTAAAAATATTATATACTATAGTATTTCATGTATGGTCCAAATCCTCGTTTGTCATTTAATGTCTTGTTTCACATGTTTAAAGGCAATGGGTAATGTTTTTTTATTCAGAGAAGACAGTTATCTTGAAAAAGGCCCTATATAATCATGATATTCTATGAAGAAGAAAAAATCACACCTCAACGTTATGGTCAAAAAATTTAAAAAGCAAATTATGTTGCGCTTTAACTCATTTATTACCACCGTTTACAATAACCATTGCTCTTTTTGATCACTAATTGAATTCACGGTTATGTTATGAAGAAACTCATATTTTATTTTGCTTCCTATACTATCATATTATGGGTATGAGACAAAAACATGAAATAAAGTGCGACAGACAGATGAAAAGCAGTTATCTTGTTTCTTTTATTTTATTCTTGTAACAACCAAAAGGTCTTCATTCAGTTGCTTAGAATATGCGATCACATGCTTTCCCTGTTTACACGACCTTTTATGACTTTTTTTCTTCTCATGCTAATCTACATTTCGACATTCCTCTTCTCTTCTTTTTTTAAACTCAATCCTATTTTTTTTCTTCGTGCTATTCACCTTTCTTCTATATGCTTTCCTTCTCATTGCTATGATTTTTGTTAAATTAAATCCAAAACAAAGTAAATAAAAATTTAAAATATGCATACTTAGTAACTTTTTTTTATAAACAAATCTTTGAACAGAAAATAATAATACTCTTGAAATAAAACATATTACTACCCCTAAAGATGACCGATTTTCGATATTGATATTTGAGGACTAATTATTCAATTGACATGGAATTGTATATCGGTAGTAATCATTAAAAGGGGGCTGTGAAATAATGGAATGTGTCAAAAATGACTATGACGAAAAAGAAGATGATCAAAATGTTCATACACTAGTAATATTTGACGTGATGATGGTAATCATGATTGGGATGGCGATGTTGATAATAACAGTGGTGGTGATGATGATGATGATGATAGTGATGATGATGATGATGATGATGATGATGATGATGATGAAGATGCTAATGATGATAGTGATGATGATGATGATGATGATGATGATGAAGATGCTAATGATGATAGTGATGATGATGATGGTTATTGTGATAACAATTTAATTTTTATAAAATCTTACGACAACCGAACGATAATCAAAACTGCCGTAAATAATATTTGTAATTCTTATGATGATATACTTATTCGCAAACGTGATGAAGAAAATATTAAATAAGCTTATAATCGTCGTAAAGGGTAACTGCATGGTGAAGACAAAAAAATGTAATGAAAGGCAATCAAAACATAAAAGAAATATCATAAGCCTACAATTTTTGTTTCTAAACTCGAAACAATATCAACATGCAATACGGGTAAAAGCAAGAAAGCGACATGGAACATAATGCTAAACCAACTGATAGAGTGAACTTTGAATGTAACGGATCATGTTGGAGGGAAGAGATACAGAAAGACCGAGATCGAGAGGGAGAGCAGACAGAGAGAAACAAGGGGAAATGAGAGAGAGAGAGAGAGAGAAAGAGAGAGAGAGAGAGAGAAAGAGCAATATGAAGCGGGGAAGGAGACATGAGAAAGAAGAGAGAGAGAGGGGGAGATGGAAGAAGAGAGAGAGAAAGAGAGAGAGAGAGAAAGAGAGGGAGAGAGTGAGAGAGAGAGAGAGAGAGAGAGAGAGAGAGAGAGAGAGAGAGAGAGGGAGACAGAGAGAGACAGAGAGACGGATCGAGAAAAGAGATCAAAAGAGTTCTTTCGAGAATGATACATAAGGTTGGCTTCGATGCAAGAGGACGCTATACCACTTTTGAAACTAGTCCATACCAACCATTTTCCCAAAACGATTGCGACTGATGCCAACTCTTTTCTGAAATATTCTCATTCGTTAAAGGCCAAGTCCACTCCAAAACTAATTAAAAGTGAAATCGGATAACTAATGAGGAAGTTACGAATTTTTATTAAGGTATAAAAAAAAAAACTATGGAA